GACCTTTTGTTTTGTGAAGCTTCTTTCGCTTCCTGAATCACAGAGGAGGAAAGGTGGCTTTGATCAAGGCAGGAGGAGAAACCATCGTGCTGAGGATACGCAGAGGCCAAGGGTCTGAAGGCTGAGGGGCTCAGGACAACCGATTCCCAACAGCGTGGTGAAGAGCGAAAGCACAAGACCACAGGAGTCTCCCCCGGGCTGTATTAGTTTTTATCGAAATGGGATAAAGTGGCTTTGTCTGTGTCAGAAAAGAAACCATCAAGTACCTACGAAATTTCTGCTCCACGGCAAGCCTAAGAGCCAAAGTTCTGCGAGCTGGGGAGAACTCACCTGGACATTTACCTATCTGCTGACTCTCCTTGCCACCTGCCTTCCTGAAGGCCCCAAAAGGGTCCCCAAACAGGCTCTTTGTGGGTCGCACCATAAAGTGACAACCTCTACGGCTTTCAATCGACTTCATGGCTACATGTGCTCACCTGGCAGAAAGTTTAATCCTCGCTGTTAGCAGGCAACATCTCCCCCATCCATCATTCAGCTAGGTCCCAGCTAGCTGGGAAAAGACAACCTGGAAACACCAGAAATCCTTTCAGGCCCACATTCAAATGGCTAGAAAAGAAAAAGGTGCTTTTGTGCAAGGTGGGGAGAACCAAAGCATTCACCTCAAGTCTTTTCTTAAGGCTTCTTCTCCAATGCTTTTTAAGCATTTTACTTCCTTGCACTTGGGTCACTGATTATTGACAAAATGTGCTGATGTCCTTCTGCAAATAAGCTGGCGACAGCTTTAAAGCAAATCACTGCATATATGAAGCTTGAAATTCGAAGAGCTCAGAGTCAAAAAATGAACACATGAAATTGTATGCACTATGTAGAAAAACAAAGAACATAAATTTTTTATACATTTCTTGTGATTGTACCTAATTGTTCTAAGACTACCACCCAAAATTTTATGTCAACAGAAAGAAAACAGAATTCACATGTGCAACACCTGTGAAATCACACTATTTAAACAGCTGGCAAAACATATTTATTTTGTGGTTACATTTCAAGTTAATGTATAAATGCTGCATTTATAATTAGTGCACATAGAATTACACAGAGAAGCTTTTTTCCAAGAAAAAATTAACTGCTACTCTCACACACACACACAAAAAAAACCCCACTTCTGGAATTTATAAACATGGCTTACAAGCATCTGGAATTGCCTGATGTTTTCTACTACCTCCAATATAGGCTGCTTACAGAAACAGATCTTATAACAACACTGCATGCAAAATAAAATGCGACCAACTTTCTTTGTTAGAACAATTTACATGCACTTGCGTGACACCATGCTATGAGCAACTCAACTCTACATTCCTGTCCAAACAAATCTAATCTCCTCCTTACAACAAACACTCCAGAGCTTTCAAGTTGATTTTACCCAAGAGTATTTCTGGGCTATCTATAGAATGCTTGGCGGGGATGAGGGACCAGAGAGGAGTGGAAGAAACACCACCAAGTAGTAAGCGAATATGGTTGGAAATTAAACCTTACTTTGGGTGTTGACCAAAACAATTATACCATTCCCTATAAATCACTGCCTGGCTAACACTGACCTTCACTAAAATGTTTACAAAGTTAATGCTGTCCTGCATATTCGACCTCTATGAAAAATGGCACTTTTGCCTCCTCTACTAACATGTTACTCCATTTGTATGTGCTTGCACATTGGATTATAAATTATGGGCTCATAATCTGCTCTATGTCCAGCTTTCCTGTTTCCCATACAAAATTGCTACTTATAATGGGCAGGCAGAGGCTTTCTACTAAGCTTTGACCAAAAAAAAAAAAAAAAAAAAAACAAAAAACCACCACCAAACAAACAAAAAACCACACACCCACGCTTAAAATCTGAAAATAAAATCAGGAATTTCATCTTTTAACTCAGATGCAGATTAAACCTTTTTTCCTGCTCACACTCTTTTACCTCCTTGGTTTGAGCTACTGCTCCACAGCTTGCCTTGTCTCTCAGATCATAAGTTTTTTAGAGAAGGGAAATGAGACTCAATTTTTGTGTAGGAAAAAGCCATTCACATTTACAGTTCTATAGAAACTACAAACAGCATGCATACAAATTCCCTCACAAGTTGCCTTGGTAGAAACATTCAAAAGTTTAAAGAAATTACAAGTTTAAATCTGTGCCAAAACTTAGCAGTCATGTAGTTTATGTTTGCTCTTCGTCTTTGCTGTCACCACTGCTCATAGTAGAAGTCCTCAGACTTTCTACTACTGCTCTGAAGTTATGAAACTTGGTAACTTGGAAACTTTACTCCATTATCTGCAAGAACAGAAGTCAAATGGATGAATCAAAAAATACAAAAATCAAGAGGAACATAAAGCACATGTTCTCTCTCAAAGGGTTTCTTCCACAGATAAAGTGTAGCAGTCAGTGAAGAGGGAAGATTACTTCTTCACTGGTCTCAGTTAGAGGTTTTCCCACTGCAGACCCAAAAAAGAGAATGTCTCTGCCTGCAATGAAGCACAGTACCAGCCCATTAATCAGTATTACATATTTTAAAGTTACTACTTTTCAAAAAAGATAAGTTACCATTCCTCTAAATTCCAAAGTTTGTTTATAACCACGTCTTGTAGGCACCTGTGATTTCATGTTTTCTACTACCTCCAACACAGACGCTTTGCATTTGTAAAGCGTGAGATTACAAAATGCATTCGTGTAATGTAAAGTGTGATCAACTTTCTTTTTTTTCTCGTTTACAGACATTCTCTGAGAGAAGGTATTAAATCCCACAAAGCTTATTTAAAAACAGGGAGGTTATAACATCAAATTCCTTACCTTTCATAAAGCATTCAGCTATTATATTGATGGCCACAGGAAAATTATAAATAATTTAAGGAAATCCTACTGGTCTCATCTTCCTTACATGACTTGAAAAAAGGGATCTACATAGATTTAACGACCAAAAAAAATTAATTAAACAGGAAGGATGGGAAAACACAGGCATCTATTCTGAGGTCTCCCAGAAGCATTAAAGCAATACCTTACTTAGTCATAGCAGACAATACTGTAAAACTTGACTGTTATGAGGTCTAGAAGCAACTTTGATCTTTCAATGAGATTCAAGATGAGGACAGTCTAAAATTATACCTCTAGAAGTAATTTGTAGCAAAATATTAGTTAAGAAAGTCACATCTAAAATTCTTGCTAGTCTATCTACACAGACACTGACCTCATCTTCTTCACAGCCCCTGTGCAACCAACTGCTGAAGGTTATCAAGTCTCCTGAAAGAGATCCCATTTTCTTAGGAGTCTGACTGGTAGAACAGCTGATGTTCCAATTAACACCGAGTTAAATGAAGACTAACTCAGAGTGAGTCTTCAGTGCATATTACAAGAACTAAACAGCAACCAAGTGTTTTGGCTTTAGACAATTATGGGCAAAACCATATTTAACATCACATTAATATACTATTGCCATTGTGGAATAGACTCTCACAAACTCAGCTAAGACCTCTCAGACACATCACAGCCCCTGCCCCTCCTACCAGGACAACCAAAATCCAGACTGTACCAACAAGCACAGCAACATCTCTAAGCTACGTTTATCTCTTCCCAGAGAACCCCTTTATTTTCGGCAACTGCAAATCTGAGATGAATGCTTCAACCATGAGAATAAGCCAACACCACAGATTCTAGTTTGCCTACACAATACAGACTGATAATATGAAATCTTTCTATTGTTTGTCCTAGATATAGACAATACTACTTAAACAAAAGAAAAAAAGTGAAGAGTCTCAAATCTGTATCTTCAACTCCACTTTCCCTGTTTGCAGGGAGATCACTGGGAAGTTTCTATATAAGGATTCTTTTCTAAAGGCCCTTGAAGTGCAAAATCTGATTCTGAGCTTAGATATAAGACCACACAATGCTAAAATTTAGGTGATCAAGTCAGAAAAAAAAAAAATCCAGATTAAAAAAAACGTTTTCTAGGAGCAGCCCGTCAAAATCAGGTATTTTTATATTTACGTCCCCAAGATCAGTACTGAACACCACAAGTTATTTTCTGACTAAATTTCTACAAAGTAAACTTCAAAGGCCACAGCGTCCACTGGCAAATGGCTTTTTTATTTAATAAATAAAATAAACAACAACAAAACCCCCCGCAGCTCTATTAAATGCAAATGTGGTAGCATGTTAATGGGCAATACTGCTTGTTGGTAACACAAAGAGGCTGTATAGAGCATTCCCTAACCACGTATTCCTGTTAATAGGACTACCAAGATTACTTTAATTAGTATCACTTGTCCGCTTCAAATCCCTTCAAAAAACCCAAACGTCACAGATAAAAATCCTACAGTTAGAGTTTATCATACTTTTTGTACTGTGCAGTTAATAAGCTTTGGGGTTTTAATTGCATAACACTATCCCTCCTCCATCACTCCAAGAAAAATACAGATCTGTTCCAAGTGTTATAGTTACAACCCAGTTTGCATCTACATCGAATGGTACACATAACCCATACAATTAAATCGTGATTCGAAGAGGCAGACTATACCTCCACACAACATTGTCCGGACCAACAATTCAGAAAACAGAGCCTTGAAACTCCAATACCAAGACTAAATCTGCAGACAATAAACGTTGATCATTTGCATCTTTAATGCCACCTAATAATACTTCACATGTAATTACAGTGGAAGGATATAATTCAGATTATTTATCTAGAATAGGTAACATTTTCAGTCTTTTATGAAAAAGAACCTACAATGACAAACTATAGATCTGCTTTTACAAAAACATTCTTTGGTTTCAAATTCCTGAACCGAAATCACTGTAGAAACCTTCGTATCGGACTAATGCCATCCAGAGGGATCTCAAAGTTACCTTGAGTAAAAAAAAAAAAAAGAAATTGTTTCACTTCAACTATTTCATTAGCCTGCCCTTTTAAAAAAGTCTTCCAGCATGAAAATTAGTAGCAACATCAGTACCAGGCTGCCTCCTTATTTGCCTAACACTAAAGGGGGACTACTTAGAGAGAGGGAAAAAAAAAAAAAAAAAAAAAAAGAAAAAATTTGCAGTAAGAAAAACGCATCCAACATGCTGGCATACTAACTATAGCGTGTTCATGTTTATAAAAAGGTTTCCACACGCCATCCAAGGGAAGTTACAAACAGCCTGACTACTAAATAATTTATAACAGGGGAAGCATACATTTTAAGTTGAGTCCAGAAAGGGACATAGATTTGATTACCAATTCTGACCTTTTACCACTTCAAATCACAGGAGAAAAATAACATCACAACTACAAGCATGCAAAATCCTTTAAGGTAACATTATAGCCTTTTTCAGCAGTTGAAAACAGATATTAATAAAGTGTCAAAGAGGCCACAGGAGACCTAACACAGGAGCTAGGAGATGTTTTCGTAGCGGAGGCTTACAGAGGGTACTGGCATTGGTCAAGC